GGGACCCTTGCTCCTGAGCGGAATCAAGAGCGATCTCCTCGATGAGCCTCTTCCGGAAATCCATTTGATAAATTATCCTCTGGTTACCAAAGTCAAGCCCTTACCCCTTGCCGCCGAACCCACCAAGTGGAGAACGTCCACGGCCAGCAGTCAGCCCGATGGAGGAACGCCCTTCATATACGCACCGTCCAAGAACAAACCCAATGCCCGTCAGCCGGGAATCGAGAACGGGGAATCTTCCCATCGAAATGGGTCAAGGGTGAAGTGGTCAGCGTCCAGATGACCTTCCAGAACGCCGCGTCGTTCGCTCTCCAATTGAAAGATTTGAAATTGATCAGCGACGGAAATTTCGATTGTTACCCCTGCTCGTTCACAATCGGACCGTCCGAGAGAGGATCGGCGCCGAATTCTCTCGACGTCCTCATCAAAGGAACACCGAGGTCGACAGGAGTGATCCGGATCCTCGGGTACGAATGCCTCGTGCTCGGGATCCGAACCCGGTGTTTCTTCAAGGATGCCAAATGGATGCACCGGAAGGTCGTGCCCGCGCCGTCGGATAATTCCAAAGAGTTTTCTAAGAATTTCGAGTTCATAATTAATTGTGTGTCTGAGCTGCCGCTGCTCGAGGTCTCCGGTGAATTACAGAATAACTCAGAGATCACAGTTTACGGTGGGGAGACGAAAAACTACAGAGTGAAACTGCACAACAAAAGCTCAGTCCCAGTCGAGATGATCGATATCAGCATAGACGGCTCCCGCAAAGCCTCCATCGAGTGGAACGAAGAAGAGCTCAAGAGTCAATTGCCTATCGCTCCCGATGCGACGGTCACATTTCACATTACCCTGACCGGTAGCGAGAATTTCATGGCGAGCCAGAAGACGAGCGAGCATCTGAGAACTTCATCGGCGTCACCTTCGCCGATGGGCACCCCGAGCATGCGACGATTCCAGTCCACTCCGAATACTCCACATCGGAACCATTTCCACGTGCCAGCCGAAAGCGCCACGGACACGGTCAGCACCGATATCACGATATCGTATTCCGGGGGCGCCGGGATGGAAGATAATTACGCCCGAAAATGCTGCATCAAGACCCGGCTGACGGTCCTGCAGTCGGTGATAATCACCCAGTGGGATGTTTTGCTGGCCGATTCAGCTGATGAGTGCTATCTAGTGTTGGACATCGAGAATCGAACGTCTCACGAGGTCGAGCTCGAGTACCAGGAGGGCAAATCCCTAGCGGTCGAGAAAAAGTGCAAAATCCCCGTTCTCATTCCGAGATGTAAACCGTCCGGCGGCGACGAACACCTCGAGGAACTCTGCCGTCAACACATAGACAAACATGTCAAACTCAAGTGGTCCTTAACACAACAGCAGCGCCAGGTCACTGGCTACGCGAACCTCAATGAATGCAAGTGGAATCCGAGCCAGATCGACACAATTCTGTCGGCATCCGTGGCATGTGAGGTTTTCCTCCAGAAACATCCCTACAATTCAGACGACGAGTTCATCCTCAAGATGGGAGTGCCGCTCAGCGTGCAAGTGGAGGCGCAGAACTCGTCGTTGTGCTCGTTGCAGGAGCTGCTCGTCTCCCTCCATGTCTATCAAGACTATCAGAACGGCACAACGCAAGTGTCCAATATCTGCTTCCATGGACCGCACAAGATTCCGATCGAGAGCATCGAGCCCGGTCAGAAGGTCAGAGTGTCGTTTTGTCTGCTATTTCTGTTCGTCGGAGATTACAAAATCGATGTGGACTGCTCCACCCTGAGCGGCGACTGTGCGAAGGCGGTCAGTAATCAGGTCGAGATCCGAGGCGACACCCCCAAGCAACATCCTCTCTGGAGAACATGCCCACCGTTGAAAATTACGGTCGTCGATCTGGAACGGGACCCCCTACTGTCTGTGCCTCTATGATGATCAGACGCTTGAGCTTTCAACAGTATTCCAGACAGATGAGAGAATGGTCGTATGAGAGAGCTCCGGATGGAAGACCGAAGACGATGGTCTTCAGCGAAGGCTTCCGCAGTCACAACTGATCCCCAGGAACCTTGCCTGTATACGCTCGATCGGAGGTACAAAATCTTCGTACTCCATCCGATGAGTGAACGGATGATGGTTATTCGAAAGAGCGGGCAAAGTTGGGAGCTATCCCGCTCATGAAGGGGAGAGGGGAACAGAGAGCAATCCACAAAAAAAATATTTAACGGAAAGGAAGTGGAGGGAAGCCATATCGGTGGGAGCTGTTGACAGAAACATATCGCAAAAGTGATAATCAGGAGAGATGTTGGCGGTGTTAAGAATGAGATGAATGATTGGTTCGAGTCTTCTCCTCCTTCGGTGATGAGTAGAAATATCTCGTCGATTCTGACGATTCCGCGGACTGATATAGGTATCTCATTTCGCGGGTACTATCGCCGAGATGTTTCCACGGTCCGGAGAAGGAGTTCTCCTCTCCAATCGCCCTTGTAAATTATTATCTGTTCAAATACAGTGGCGACTACATAATTTCGATCGGAGTCTTCTTATTGAATGTAATGAGGGACAGGGAAAAATCATCTCTTGTCCGACACATCGGTCGGTTTCGAGGTCTGCGACCTGCGAGCGGTCCGATCTTCTCGCCGAGACGGTGGATTCCCATCGATTTTGCTTAGGGAAGGCACCCATTCCGGATTCTCATCGAAGTGTCGCAACCTGAGTTGGTAACCCATTCGCCGAGATCCAATATCTTGCGCCTCTCGTAGCACTTGGTGGAGTGAGCAGGAATCGCTGCCGGAGAGCCAAACGGGGGTAAACTCGTCAGTTTCTGATTTGTCAACCTCAGAGCTCAGCTCGAGTTCCAGGACTACTGGCGCCACCCATTGTCTCGAGCGGAACGAGATCGCACGCGCTGCAGCAACTTTGCCTCCCATATTCGATTTGATCCTCCGGGAAAGAACTTCTCTGGAACGGGAGCGCTTCATCGGTCTGAATTCACACTTTATCAGTTTTGAGTGGTGTTGAATAAGTGAGACTGATTCTCTGCCGAGGTATCCAGGTGAAGGCACGTTCTAGGAATCCGATACTTTCATGTCCGCAGCAGGAGCTCTAGACTGAATTTCAGGACCCCTGACACCTATCAAAAGGTGCCCCCAGATGAAGACTGACTCCGAGGATATCCTACCCCGAGAAGTTCCGTGTACCCGGCGGAAATCATGAGGGAAAGCGAGAGCGTCGATGGAGTTTGGACCCTCAAGTCGGTGGTTCACCTTCACATTAGATATCAGCTTAACACTTTCTCTGCCACTGTCCAATCCTCCCCTCTTCCCCTGTGAACCGAAATCCGTGAGCCCGAATGGAGTGCCGTCCACCGTATGCGGTCTGAGGCGCGCCGGCGTGCCTCATGGCACTGGGGGATTATTGCTTCTATGGATAACCTCAATCCTCGAATTCAGAAGGACCTCATGGCACGGAACGTGTCAAGTAAAATGAGCCGTCGCCAATCGCGGTTCTGAAAGGGGCTCCGAAGGCGATATCGAGTTGATCGAATTATTATAGATATGCACACCAAGATCGTCGTTCAAAAGCATTCATGTATTCATTTGATCACAATCGTCCGGAGAACAAGATCATCAGCATTTCCAAGATTTGCTGACGACTTTCTCAATAATTTGCTCTTTAACGCAGGCAGCTATCGTGCCCACTCAGCCATGGCTCCGAACCCCGTATCTCCGCAGGCCAATTTTTTGTACACCGACGGAATTTCGATATATCCTAAAGTCTTTAGCTTCTGGATCTGCTCCTGGGTCAGAGGATGCTCATACATATACGTGTTCATCGCTGGTGCGAATAATAAAGGTCGTTCCGGATCCCACGCTCTGATCGTGCAGCTCAATAGGTTATCACAGATGCCAGAACATGCCTGAAGAAAAAAGGGCGTTCCGGCTCAATCCATGGTCGAGGGAGCATCGCTCTCGTTCTCTATCCGATTCCTTCAGGGAAATCACAGCTAGATTCGACATCGTTAAGGTGCATCCGCCTTGCTTTTTCTTATATCAAATCAACGTACCTTGGCCATGGTGTTCGCGTCTATTGGGGCGATAAGCATGATATCTGCCCATCTACGGAGCTCGATATGGACGACTGGATCGCCGACCTTACTCCACTGATTCCATTCGTCTTCATCGCACCAAACTGCAACATTTTGCCGTCAAAAATCGACTCGACGACCGGAAGAATGTCAGCCTCGAACGAGAGCTGTTGAATCACCGTTCTCCTCGAAACCATTCTCCTACCTTTGACATCCTGAGGTAGGCTGAAAAAATGCTTGGCATTCTTGGTCGTCACAACCTCGACTTTCACCACGTGGTCGGGAATCTCGAGCTCCTTCAGGAGAGATACCAACATTGGCGCTTTCAAAGCAGCCACGCTTCCAGTGAGCGCGAGGAGAATGTGAACTTCTTTTTCCGTTTGAGGCATGGTAGGCACTTCCGCTGACGATGAGCTCGCTTGCTTTCGCTGATGATGAGCTCGTCGAACGCGCGTTGCTCGAACCGGAAAGACGCTTCTTCCTGTACAGCTCTTGACGGGATCTTGTTCCGAGCCGGAATTGCACGATTTACTCGCGGTGGCAGCCTTCTAAACCGCCTACTATATCCGTCTTAGCCGAAACTAGTCCTCGCCTGCGAGGAAGGAAGTTGAGAACGGCTTACTTAGATCGACTGATCAGCTCGCATGAAAAATCAACACTCCGGTGAGAGAGTGGAATCCCGTGACTCGGCGTGATTCCATCAAATCAAAATTCATGGGTCCGATGCCGATGGGGCGGTCTCGTTCGGATTGCGGGAGGGCGCTCTGGAACGCAGTCGGGACGAGACACCCCCAGTCTTCTATTCGACTTCGAGCCCGAAGCCTTCGGAAAGGTCTGACCGCGTCACTCCCGAGAAAAGATTCTGGGTTGAAATATTTTCATCGCTCTCCCACTAAGCCAAACACACGCCCCGAATAGATTCCGCGTATTGAGGAGCTCCGCAGGGGCTCGGAGTCTGGTGCGTAAGCCATCTTCCGTTTTTTTATTCACCGACAAAAATCGCGTTATCTCCAAATAAATTACAATTATTGTATAAAAAAGATGCCCGATATGCGAGCGTCGATACGCGGAATTGGGGTAGAGACGAACCTCCGCTGCTTGATATAGTCGTATAGACGGCCGAGTCCGCTCCAGATAGAGATCTTTCGAAGAAAATCTGGAGCTCGTCTCGATCTGTACTTTATTTCAGTTTTGAGAACGAGTCCGGATGGACTGTCGACTTTGACTAGCTTTGAAAGCTTTCGGGCTCTGTCACGCGCCACAGACGCCCTCCGCTATTAATCCCCACGGGATCCATGAACCACGGTCAACGCCCATCTAGGAATGTTGCTCAACGATGTGGATCTTCATCTTTCCTATCGTTTCTCTCAGGAGGGAAATTTCCGCGTTGCAGTGTTTCAATTGTAGCTCAGCGAGATCAATGCACGACTTCTTGAAGTACCGAACCCGTCTGCTCCGGAAGTCCTTCAGTTCCTGTTTGGCTTGCGTGCTGATGTCCTCGAACTTCTCACAAGCGAACTTCTGTAGTTCTTCAGCGTGGATCACGTCCTTGTTTTTGATGCGGGCTTTCTCGAGCGCTCGGTTCGTTCCCTCGAAATTAGCCAAGGCCCTAAGTCTGCGATACAAGAGATCTTTCGCCGCACCTGAATCTCTCTGGTAATATCGCAGTGTATCGGAAAGTTTGAGGTCGAAATCGGTACCCTTTCGGCCTTCGATCTTCCTCGCGGCCTCGAGAAATTCGATGAAGTTCGGAACAAATCGTTCCAAATCGTTGTTCATCTCAAGCGGGACCTGTTCTGCTAAGGCTGTTGATACCCTGATGTAACTCCTGGCCAGGTTCTTCTGAGCGTTTGTCACCTTGTCGGCTTTGGTCCTCGCCTCCTTGAGTTGTTCGAAATAGCGGGTCAAGAAAGTCTTCTCCACTTCGAACGAGTCGTCGATGTCTTTCTGAGTTGTCTGCAACAGTAGACCGTCGGCGGACTTCCCGAGCGACGAGAACAGGCCTGCCAGCCGTTCTTTCTTGTTTTTGCCCCGAACCGATAGATCTTGAGCGTAGCTCAGAAACACGTGAAGATTTCGGTCGTCACGGAAGACTTGGTGATTCGCCAGCCGCTGGAGGAACTTCTCGTGCATTGCGACAGTCTTCTTGAAAGTAGCGAGATACTCAGACTCGAGTTCGGCCTTGAGTTTGTTGAACTCCTCAACTGTCATGATGCTTTCGGACTCACCGAGACGTTGGAGCTTCTCCCGAGAAGCATCGAAGTTCGGTCGAGGCGGGGCTGGGGGAATGATGTAACCGGCGTAATGCTCGTTCTCTTCGAGCATGGTGTGCAGCCAGACGAACTCTTCATGCTGTCGGACCACTGACAGCTCGGGTTTATCGAACACGGAAAGAGTGCTCTTCGTTCGAACGGTAAACTTCACCTTGTCCCGTTCACTAAGTGCGTCCGAGATCTCGATTATCAGGGCGGGCACGTTCTCATTCAAATCTACGGTTTCCGCCCGCTGACGATATTCGGTCATGGTTCTTGATTCGACGGTTTTTGAGACCGACCGAGCTCAACGTCACGGCTGTTCCACTAAAAGTAACAACGTGTGTTTGCCTGTGCTTCTAGTGTGACTAACTCCTCCTCGTCGCCGCGGAGACCGACGAGAGACGCCTCTCGGCGGTGAGGGAAGGGAGAAACTGACTTAGAGCTGTGTCAAATCTCGGTTTCGAGAACTCTGAATCGACTTCCGGGAGTTCGTCCCCGATTCTGTATAGAATGTAGTTCTTGCGTCCTCCCTCCGCGAGCGGAATCGGAACCCTGGGGAGGCCGGGTACTCGGATCTTCCATTCACCTTCAGCCATTCTTACCACCTGACCGCCGTCAGTCTCTCCACCCGCAAATCTTGACGTCATTCCGTCTAAAAACCATTTCCTGCTCGATACACACCGGTGGATACCTATCCAGTCGCGGAGAAGCTAAACACGAAATACTTGGGGCTCACCATTTGTCAATTCCTCAAGACCGGCTGGCGGATCCCGTGCGCGGGGTTCCGAGTTCGAAGTCAGACAGCTCTGCGGGTGACACCGCGGAAGCCAGCTGATCGGCAGTAGACAGGAAACATTCTTGAGCGAGCGGAAGGAAAGAGAATTATTCCTCCCTGAACGAGGAAACTAATGCTGTCGACTGCGAGAAGGATGCTTACCTCATGGGAGAGCTCGTTCGGATGAATCGAAGATATCGAAGAATCATTTGCGGGCAGAATGATGATGACATTGATCCATGCGGACAATTTGCTGAGTCTCGATCGGTCCTTTCCACACCTCCCGGAGCCCTGTCAGAAAGGAAATCAGTCAGCTCTTGAGTGTGAAACAGTACAATCACGATGCATGGGGAGGGGAGAAGGAGATTCCGGGTCGAAGGATGATGAAGGAAGGTTCTGGACGAGCTTCACGACGAGTAACTTACCGAGGTTGCTGAATACACCGAGGTTCGGAATGAGGAAACGTGCTCGTCGGAATCGACGCGAGCATTGCGGAGCAGTCGGTTTAGCACGGGATCCCCAAATGGATGTGTCATTCCTGCGCTCAGTATTGAATAATCATCGATATATGGAGGGTTTTTCATTCTGATGGCCATTCATCAATCAAGGGTCCATACTCCACCTTTGCTCGTGAAGTCGATATCTCCTTACCATGCGCTCGGCTACTGCTTCACAATTGGAGAGCTCATGGCTGAATGCGCCTCCAGCTCTCCTCGCCGCCACATGCAGTACAGATCAATACCTTGGGACTTTTCCAGCATACGTCCAGGGGTGCTCTCTGGGGATCATTTCTCCTGGTTCAAAGGGCTCCTCTCAATTCAACAGGACGAAGATTGGTGGGCTCGGGAGACTCATTGAATCATCTAAAAAACTGTTTGCTTTCATTCGGTTCGCGCCCTCGAGGCTCGCTGATGGCAACGCTCGGAAAAGGTGATCTGTATACAGAGGTCGCTCGTGAAACCGGCATTGGGAGAAATTCAGGGAAGCATTCGGGATGATTGAACCATAAGGACCTCAATTATCGCCGCGGATTTGAACGAGTGACTCTGAGTGAGCAGGAACCATGTTTATTTACATAGATCACCTTCCCATCAACCACTCCCATCAGCGAGTCTCGAGGCTTACCTCGAGTGATTTCAGCTCGATGCGAGCTCTCATGCAGTGGCTCCTGGGTCGGGAAAACGCCTGATAGCGCCCGAATCGTGAGCATAGATCATTGACATCATTGCCTCCACTCCAGCTCGGCAGATACATAACTGTAGGAGCTCAACCCCTGTCTGTAGGCATTGTCGAATGGACTGACGTCCGCATCATTGAACTGAATATCGAGCGTACCCTTTCATTCTCAATTGCATTCTCCGTATAGCACGCGTAGGATCGTTCCCTATCTCTAATTCTCGTTCGATCGTACGCTGTGCTGTCTCACCCGCACCTACAGGCAATGGGGAAATGCCGACTACAAGCGCATAATCCACGTCGTCGGCAGCTGCAGCAAACTTATCAGACGATGTGGTGGATTGAAGTGATGCCACGAGCGGCAGGCTAGCTGACAGGACATGCAGCGGTGGGCAGGCATGTGAACTGATTGGCAGTTTGCTCCCGATATGGGTGTTGCTAGTGATCCACTCGATACACTTCTGCTGCTCGCTAGGAGGCGCTTGATCCTGAGCGACAGCGCTGGTTTCATTTATAGCCTCTGGACGTCTCCTCTTTTTATCTCCATCGTCATCGTATCTCCATCGCTCGAGGAGTCGAGAAACCAAATCGGTATACGCGAGCTATTCAATTGGATCTCAGAGGCGATCACATATCGACTCTTCGGAACAGCTCTTCCTTAGACCTTCCTTCGATATCCCCGATTTTGTTCGAAACCGGAGACTGTGGAAGTTTCCCATGTTCAATGATCCGAGGATTTGGATGAGGTCACAATTTTGGAAGCGAAGCAAAGCTTGGGGGCTGGGCCCAGGTGAACACTTTTCTGATCAGGGACGGTACAAAGGAGAGTTTCGACTGAATACCCGGAACCTTTGTACTCTCATGGAAGCTGGGAATCTAGAATACCGATCCCCGTATCATCCTCAGACCTCACCAACGAGTCAGTGAATAAGACCGCGCATACGATGCCGGATTTGAAGTTGAGGCGAACACCTGAGCGATCCCCCAACGAAGGTCTCCACACTGTGGATGATAGAATGAATCAGTCATACAATAATTGAGATAGGTTGGGTGAGAGATCCGGAGCTCTAGCTCCTCGTATCGGACTCCCTCACGGTTGCTCAAGGCGTACAGACTTTTTGGCAAGAAGAACCTTGCATATCCGAAGCTTCTACCTGCGCGACTTGATGGTCTCTCGAAACGTGATGGATAATCCGAACGATCCGCGATCGAACCCCGCGTCCGACGAACAGAGGCCTCACTGCTCTCGGAGATAGTCCTCTCCGCTCATGATCCAGCGAGAAAACTCAAGGGAGTACATCGGTCCCATGCGCGCCGCCGACTGCACAGAGCCGGCTCGAAGGAGATCCCCCGCTCTGGCATTTACAAAAACCGTTCTAAAAACCGTATTCCGAAATCCGACACGAGCACGTGATCCAGTGGCTAGAGCGAAACCATAAGCTCGTATGAATGCGCACTCCCCAGATCCTGGAGCTCATCGTCAGTAAGCGCCCACCTCTCTCGTACCTGCTCCGAGACCTTTTCAGATTCGTGAAATTTGACGTATCGTTCGATCCCCCCTATAGGAGCGACTTGGTGGTTTAAATCGGGCAGCCGCAAGGTAGCGCCCCCTGTGCGACTGATTGCAGATTCAAGTATTTGCAACACTCCTTCCTGAGGCTGCATCCTCCGACCTCTGTCGTTTCGAGCCCTTTCCCAAACTCCGACGCTTACGGCTGGTGGCCTCGACGTCCCGCTCCCGCACCCGGAACTCAGGAGGTTGTGGCCACACGCCCTCCGTGAGCTCGAGGGCCTGAACGCCCAGCTCGGTGTCGTGCTCTGGAAATTCATCTCGGACGCCGGCAGGATGAATGCCAAAACCAGCTACGAAGCATGCTCTTTTTTCCGAGCGCGCATTTGATAGGCCCCGGACCCAGAGCTGTCCGACGAGGACCGAGAGACAGGACGTTCGTCCAAGGCTAAAATAACGGGCCGATAGGTGAGTTTCGGAGCTGATAACGCGAACTCCCATGGACGTTTATCGATTGGATTCACGGTCGGAAAGCATCGCGATTGATCCGAAGCCTGTGATATCGACCCCTTGGAAAACTGAGCAGACATCATGCAAGGGGGACTCGGAGGCAAGTGACACGCAGGAGGGAAGTTGACGTCACCATCCCCGGCAGGATTCTCTGGGCGCTCTTGCTGCCTCCCGTGGGCTTTCTCACTATTTCCAAAATGGTGTTCCAATCGCTCCATCCATTTCCAGTCCTCCGTGGCCTGCGGAAATGAGACTCTTCGCGGCCGAGATTTACGTGAGTAGCGAGGCTTTCGGTCTTGAGTTTCGAGAAGCTCCAGCGTCGCTGGATCGTTCCCGCGGGGGGCAAACGATCTGGATGACCAGTTGTGCAGTGTGAAGGTTATGACATCTAGTCGCTGGACAAGTGTACTACGCTTTGCGGATTCTGAATACAGTGCACAAGATAAGATTCGACGAGAATTCGTCGGAATGCTCTCAGTAACTTGTGAGGAGAGCTCGCTTTTGCTCTGACCCGTAGCGGAGTCAAGCCCGGATAAGGTTCACGCATCCCAGGATCGGGAGCGAGCGTTCTCTCGAGTGTGTATGAATCTTTACATATGCTCGATGAACATGGAATGCCACGAATGCTCATATCGGTCAGTTATCCGGTCATGAACGTTTCCTACAACGAGGCTTGTTGAGAAACTCACAGAATCACATGGCTGGAAGCACCTTAATTGCAATTTATGCGTTGAATGGTCCCTTGATTGAGGCTTATAGGCCACCGCGTACGTATTACGGCCCAGAACCTGAATCGGGTCAATGACACTTCGGAATGACTCGCTTCGGCCGGAAAGGAAGTAGAACGACACATACCCGACTCGAGCTCCGAAAATAGTCCCTGGAATTCGCGTCCGACCCGAGTGCGTGTACGGACGGCCTATCGTCTCGTTTTCACGTCACGGAAAGACTGAGGAGCTCCGTTGGTTCGGACCGTTTCGGCTCGACGCGGCCGACTAATTCTCACAGCCGGGGCGTGATACAGCACGTGATCTAGATCGAGATCTCACCTCAAATTCTATTCCCGTTCATTCGCAGGAAGGACGTGAAGCACTATGAAACGACTGCGGAGCTCCACTGATCGTTGGAACAGCTGAAAGATCCAGAGAGCTTGAACCATGAACTTTTCGGACCGCAATCCGTCTTTGTGGGCTGTCGAAAAGTCAAGATTTCCGGATGTTTCTGGGAAGATCGACTGTTGCGTTTCTGTTCCGACATTATTCAGCTGCAGCAGAACCAGCAGGAATTGAAGCTGTCAGCATGCATGTTTCATGTACCACTCACCGGAGACAGTGAAGGAAACAAGAGCAGCAGCGTTTTTCAGTGATTTTTGCGTCATCGGACGTTTAGTGAACATCAGTGGCGGACCCTTGATTAATTTCGCTTCAGATAAAATCAACAACCGCTTGCCACCTATCGCTGTTCAGGTTGTGTCGAGCAGTTTTGCCCACCGCCTACCATCTGCCCGCCTGACTGTCTGCCCGCCCGATTGATCACCGACCGACAGCCACTCGCCTAACGCTTGGCCGACCGACCGACCAACCGAGCAGCCAACCGATCGCGCGCGCGCGAGAGATCGATCGGCGTTGTGACGAATTATTATTTAGGAAATGTTCAATCGGAACCCAGTACGAGTGAAAAGCCATCGGGACACAAGTCGACTTCTAGACTGCTCAGTTTGCGTAGTAGTAGACCCATCAGGAGGGTCTCCGCCGTTATCAGCAACAGGAGCTTCAGCAACAACGTCAAAAACTCCATTGCCCTCACTACTAATGTTGTCACCGCCGCTGCGTTGCCGCCATCGCCATATCGGATCCGCGCTTCTATAGGGCATAGATTGAATTGAGACGAGCTTTCGGAACGAGAAATTAACGAGTAAAGAACTTCCACCGGAAAGCCCAATCCAGACCGACTCTGGAAGTGGAAGTCCTAGAGCGATTTCACAACTTTCTGGAACATGCCCTACGACGACCCGTCATCTTCGACATGAGACAGAAGAAGCAGCTGCATACCCCGAAGCAGCACCAAGACATATGAAATATCGACCCCTGAGTATAATTACTCGCATCGAACAATTCATCGAACTATAACCTGATAAGAAGAACAGAAGCGCTTTCGAACAGAAAGAAAGCAACAGAAGCGCTTTCGAACAGAAAGAAAGCAACAGAAGCGCTTTCGAACAGAAAGAAAGCAACAGCAGCAGCACGAGTGAGAAATCCGAGAAGCCGCTGAGATCAACCAGCGCCAAACGAGGAAACCCATATGAGTTGTTGAGGAAAGGAAAAAAACACCCACAGTCGCATCCGAACCTCGGAGGGAAAAACTCCCGCAGAAAAAAACGCGACCGACCTCCGTTTTACATCGTGATCTTCAACCGCCTACCAGGAGGACGGGAACTGAAGTTCCAGAGGTTTTGTTCGTTGACGCGATCTACAAATCTGCAACAATCAAGCACCACTACTACCTCGACAACGACGAGCAACTACAAGACAACAGCAATACATCTATCAATCTACAATATATCGATCGATCAAGTTAGTCCAATCAGCCCAAACCAAGTTTATTAAGATTGGATTGTAAACAAGTGCGAGCTCGCTACGCCCTTTGCAGATAATATCGCCCGCAGTTAAACGATCCATTTATATCTCAGAGTAAGATCAAACAATATCGATTGCTTCCACTGAAGTTGTTAGCCAGCCTCAGTCGGACTCTCTAATCTGATTCACTGATAACGAGGCAACTCCGCAAAGACAACTCGCATTCGTCCCTCTCTCTACGTGATAAAACGCAAACAACAAACTCGATCGGCCACCCGCCCGCTCGCCGGCCCGTCCCTCATCAAGTTCCTACCGCTCAGTGAGCTATCTATCTTACCGATCGGGTAAGAAATAGTGCGTCGTCAACTTCAGGAAGAGCTTAGGAAATTAAACTCGATGATACAGAGCACGAGGATGAAAGCAGCTAAACTCATGTCAGCTACCTCAAACCACAGACAGTTTTCATAGCTGGGACGGACGGACGGACGTCGGTAAAACGGACAGACAGACGAACCGAGAGTCAGCCCGAACAAACGATACGAGAGAGTCGATCCCGAGCGAGGAACAGAGAGAGAGAGAGAGGACGACAGGAAAGGATAGAACAGATTTTAGGAAGGCACCACAGCTACTGAGCGGACTGACTGTCTAGCTGTCACGCTGCAACAAGACAGCGAGCTTCAAACAACGATTAGCAACTGACCTTGTTATTGACGCATTCTCCTTCGCCGAAGACGACGACAACTACAGCCGCGACTACTTTCACCACTACTGCTACCAGACAGTAACACCACCAGAACTAATCTCGCCGCTAATAATTCCACTACTACTACTACTCCTAGCAGTAGGTGCAAGCTGAAGACAAACAGAGACTCATCGGTAAAATCAGCAGACCGCAAACGAGAAGAGGACCGGCTTCACCGGATTGTCCGAATCGAATCGGTGGGCCCATACAATATCGCAGTACAAATCACAGATCGGAGAATATCCGAAATCATCGCAACTCATCTTCATTCTCAATTAACCGAACTCATCGGAGATTTCGATTGATTCGTTCGTTCGTTCGCTCAGTCATTCACTTTCTCGAGCAACTCGTCGTGAAAGCCAAAACCGAGCTCCGGTCGGAAGCTCCCGCTCTCGCGAGCCATTTGGGTCTCTCCTCTGGAACAGCTGATTGCAACACCGCCCTCTCGATCTCATCGGCATCTACCGGCAAGACACAGCTTGCCGAAACAGAAAGAGATTCAGGCGAAGTGAAGCAGAAACAGAGAGAAACATAGAGACTCGAAATGCTGTTGTCACCTTCGATAGGTCTTCTCCAGCAAGCTGAGAAACTACGAGTGCCATTCGGCATCAGCCACCCGCTGAGAGCGACGTGAGCTGCATACCATACTCCTTCGAGAGCTCGGAGCGAATCCTGTTTGTAGACTGTTCAGCCATAGCCGTTGATCTCGTTTCTTCACCGCAACAATATCATTGTCGTTCTGGACATATTCTCATCCGGCTCATCAACGCCATTGCCATTAGGATTGTTATCAACAATATCATTCTCACTACTCCTACAGACATCGTTTCCACGACTCCGTCGAAACGAGCAACTTTGGTAACCAGGATCCCGACTACACTACATACGCTTTGTCTACTCAAATCGATCAAGCCGACTCACTAAACTCCAATCCGAGGTTTCAACAAGAGGAGAGCACCGACTCCGATCAAAATCATTCAGTGAGCACCAGAGTGCCTAATCGCTTCTTTTCAATCAGTCTGCAATTCCCTTATTGTCCAAGACTGACTGTCACTCAGCCGGACAATCAAGTATCAGCGAGCGACGAAGAATCGACCGCCCAATCGGTTTTACATACATTCCTTTATACCTCTCCCACATCCGGTGATTGGTGTAAGCGAATCACCGATCCCCATCGCTGCAGCGACGCGGCCGAAGGGGGACAGCAATTTCTTCGGAGCCTCAGAACAAAGGGGCATGTCAGAGCAGCGAACTCAACCAGAGGAAGCCCTCGACTAGGACGTATTGTATTTGCGCAGCGTTTAAACCAAACGAAAAACAAAGATGAAGAGCACTCAGAGTGTCTGCCACCTCTTTGGTTGGCTGAGGATACTTCTGGTGCTTTTGATTCACATCAGGTGCTCCACTCAAACAACATTGAAGCCTGGGTGAGCCTCAGTCTTAGATAGGTGGAGAGCGGATATCCTCAATTATTTCTTGAGGTCGAATCCGATCAGCTGAGAAATAGCATCCTAAATCCTGATGATCTTCCCCCCCCCCTTCCTCAGATTGACAATGAAAGGACAGAATGTGTCGAACATTCTCCGCTCCTTTTTCGAGTCCGGAAAGTATGACAAGCGGGTGCGACCCAATTATGGTGGGAAGCCAGTCGACGTTGGGATCACAATGCAAATAATTAGTATCAGTACAGTCTCTGAGGTACAGATGGTGAGTACACGCCGATCTCTCACACGTTTTGGAATTCGACAGAATCATCTGTTGTCTTTTCTTATCTATGCAAAGGTTATCCTCTCTATCGAGCTTCATGTCCCTCGGGAAGCGCGCTGAATCGTTGATCTAGAGCGATACGATCCCCTCAGCCCGAGTCGAGAGTTAAGGCCGGGTCCCCCGCACTAGAATAACCTGAGGCGAATTTTCCCAATCTCCAGGATTTCACTTCGGATTTCTACTTCCGCCAAACTTGGCGAGACGAACGATTGTCGTTCACACGCACTAAAGATCTGGACTCCATGATTGTCGGCGCAGAAGTCGCCGACAAGATCTGGGTGCCGGATACTTTCTTTGCAAACGAGAAGAGCGCGTATTTTCACACGGCTACGACAGACAACACCTTTCTCCGCATAAAGGCCGGAGGAGACATATTACGGTCGATACGGTGAGTCTCGAGTTCCGCAGCACCGATTTGGAAATCGGGGAACGGGAAAGCAGACACGTCAATGAGACGCATTGAACTTGAATATCGCGTTTATCACCCTTGCAGCCTTACAGTAACCGCCACCTGTCCCATGGACTTGCGATATTTTCCCATGGACAGGCAAAGCTGTGCCATTGAAATAGAAAGCTGTGAGTAGAGAGATTTATTCAGCGGGAACATCCGGTCGAAGAAAGAACGCATATCCTCCAAGCGTTATCATGTCATTTCGTGATGTCGCCTGAGCTTACCCTTCTCCCTCCAGTCGGGTACACTACAACAGACATCAGTTATAAATGGGCTGATGGCGAAAAATCGGTCCGAATCTCACCAGACGTGGAGCTGCCGCAATTCAAGGTCCTTGGCCATCAGCAGAAAACTATTGTGGTACGATTCTGCACTTCGACAATAATGAGTGAAGTGGTCAAATTAGAGAAGATCGGTCGGACGGACGTTCCGCGAATCGCCCCACTCGATTGATCACCGTTTTCGGTCGTTCGTTTGCAGGTAACTCTTAGCACGGGAAATTATTCCCGGTTGGTGTGTGAAATTCGGTTCGGTCGAGCCATGGGCTACTATCTGATTCAGATATACATTCCTGCTGGATTGATCGTTGTCATTTCATGGGTGAGTGAAACGAACTCGAGATTCTGACATTTCGTCGAGATGGGCTCCAAACTATGATTGAGAACGGTCTCATCCTCAGGTATCCTTCTGGCTACATCGTAACGCTACTCCGGCTCGCGTGGCGTTGGGAGTAACAACTGTGCTGACGATGACCACGCTAATGTCAAGCACCAATTCCCAACTTCCAAAAATTTCCTACGTTAAATCAATTGACGTTTATCTCGGAACATGTTTCGTTATGGTACGCATGGAGATTCACCCCTCAGAACATCATCGATACCCGCAATCGAGTGCGACTCCTGTGTTGCTGGAGAGCTCGACAGAAACTTCTCTGAAATCGCACGTTTTGTATCTGCAGGTTTTCGCCTCGCTTCTGGAGTACGCCACGGTAGGCTATCTCGGAAAAAGAATTGCTATGCGGAAATCAAGGGCTCAACAACAGGCCCAAGCAGCTGCGAAAGAGAAGGAAGGCAAAAAAGAAGATGAGATTAAATCGAATCAGAATCAGGTACGCTCCACCCCAGGGCACATCCGGTGTAGAGGTCTCGATGACATCGGGCACGGCGCGATCTCACGCGGAGCTACATCTCGTCTATTTCTGATTGCAGGATGAGTTGAAAAAACTAAAAAGCGCCGAAAGTACAAGTACACCAAACCAAGAACTTTGCTCAAGCCCAAGCCTGGAGATGAATCCAATCATCAAATCCATAGTGAGTTGCATCCTGGATATTTCCGAGCCGATCAGACCAGAGTATCGGGAGAGAATCCAACGTGCCTCCAAATTGAACTTTGACGGGAGCATTAATTTCTTCCCAGGGCTCTTGCCAAGTCTGTCCGACGGTCACACAGTATCGAGATTATTCCTTCGGGCAGGTGAGGCAGGAATTCAACGGCAGATCGAGGATCGACGTCAATGAATGAAAATTTATTCGTCAATTTTTTTTTCTCGGTGCAGAGCGGCGGAGGTTTGCGGCGTCGAGGTGCAGGTTATACATGCTGTTCAAGTATGGGACCCGGAGGATGTGGCTGTCCTTCGGGTGGACCACCTCAACAGCCAGTTCCCATGGTAGGTGTCGTGCTCCCGAATCGGTCTTGACGCATGAACTCGACCAGGTCCGGAAGACAGCTCAGAGCAGAATCTCATCGGATCGTGTTCCAGGAGGTGCGGTTGAAAATGCTCTCGGAATCGATGAGACAAGATTCCAAAACCCCAACTCCAGCTACACCTGCAGGAGCGAATGGTGCTCCTCTCTCGGGACCTCCGGCAGATGCCACGCAACTGGAAGCAACTGCGTTCATTAAGAATCCCAACAAGCTCTTTGGGGTTTCACCTTCCGATATAGACAAATACTCACGGGTCATATTCCCGGTGTGCTTCGTTTGTTTCCAGCTCATGTACTGGATCATCTACACTCACATAAGCGATATTTTACCTGAAGAAATCGAAGGTTGAAGACCGCCCGTCCGAGATCGGTACGTTTCCGGGAGTTTCTATCGCTAACTCTGATGAGTCATCATTGATGACACATGTTCCCCGGAATGGCGACATTTGTTCTCCTGCCAAATTATCCATAGATTCAGTCCCGACCGCAGATAACGGATTGTTTTCCTCCTTCCAGAAAATTTCCTGTTTCGGAACGAACCAAGCACTTCGAAGCACGTTGTAAACTAGCCGTTCGCTTTCATAAGCCACTAGGGAGAAGGAAGAGCGGCTCAGATCCGCAAGAGACAATAGAATATTAGGGTAAGCGTGCCATGAGAGCATTGAAGCCGCTACAAGCGAAATGATCCCGAGTGGGAAACGACGGAGAAAACCCAATTCTAGGGAGAGGAACAAACAAAAACGAGAGTCGCCTTGAGCAAAAAATCGACTGGAAACGTCGTAGATATAAAGCAGAAATTTAATCATACGAGACTGTTAAATTAGGAACTTGGTAAGATAATTTTAACGACTAAAGCCTGCGTTCACGGTATTATAGTTTCGACGCTTCAGACATATATAAATGATACACAAACTTTGTTAAACAGTGTTATAGACATTCAACTCTATCTATCTGTCTATCCATCTAGCTAGATCATGATCTAATCTTGAAGGACAACAAACACAGGGAGAAAGAGAAACAAAGACTGCCTGACTCGATTTTATTTGTTGCAGTGTCTCTAGATCTCGTGAAAGACATTCCCATAATATTCATGACTCAAATAACTTGATTGAGTGGAAACGTCGATATCGAATTCCGTGAGGGAATTTGAGGGTATTTAATTGGAGTTCTCCCCGTGTACCCTGTTCCGACGACGACATCGTGTTCCTCGCTGACTTTGTGATACAGTTAGCTGCTGGCTTCACGGCGCAACCCTTTCTCAGTTCCTCGGGGAAAAAACCAAGAGTGGCGCTTTCCCGACCCTCGGCACGTCGGTTACCTCTCATGTTGGTGCCGCTCAATGTTTCACAACAGCGCGTCGGCTTTGAACCGAGCTCCAAACCGGGAAAACGAGTCGGCCGTCTTTCGTTCACGGTGCCTCAATGTTACTGCTCAGTTCAATGCACAAAGACGAGCTGAAGTTTCTCTGAGAACGTCGGGTAACTCTCAGGCTCGGGAGGGGGCCGCTCGCCGCAGGAATAGCAATAATCCACTGGCACGGACAAAATACGACGCTATCTGGAAGCCTTTTCGGAGTCGAAATTCGGCACTTCTGCATTCATAGGTGGCTGGAAATTCCCGAGCGAGGAGTCTATACGGACTCGAGAGCCTTTTCGTCCCGACTGAACTGTAAGCTCAAGGTCGTATCCGCTGTGAACTGGACCGAGGTCTTCCGATGGGAGTGGATCGTTGAGTTATGCTCGCACATAGCTTGTTGAGTCCCCCATGTTTTGAGCTCGATGAGTTTATTTCGAAGAATGAGCCCCGTCGCGTTTCTGTGAGCGAGGTCTTCGATGAAGTTATCTGTTATCCGGACTTTTCTGGAGTCATACATATTCCAAGTTCCGCAAGGGGTGACACACTGTAACCAATGGAAACGAGTCGGTCATCCTTCTTCTCGGCAGCAACACCCGTTCCAAGCAAAAATATGAACAAATGCGCGGTATCTAAAACATGACGAACACTACACTGTCTAGCGTTATGGATAGATATGGAGCTCCACAGTTTTCCGGAATGGAAAATATCTAACAGAGAACACTTAGTCGATTCCTCGCATTTCCAACAGTTCAGAAGGAGCCCATGATTTATTCCGGGTCGAATGAAGAATTGCCTAGCTCAACGAACCAATCTTATGGGATTGAATTAGTTTGTTAAAAAATGACTGATATTAGAGGTGTGACCGACGCTGGAAACTGGGTCGATAGGAATCCAAGCAGGTATCTTGTTAAGTGCTCGAACATTCCGAGATTCAACATATACATCTGTTCTGACGAAAATATACAACAACGACAACAGCAGCAACATCCTTACACCAGCAGGAGCAGAAAAAGAAACGTCTCATCAAGAACTGAAAATTTCCGGTAGGACCTCTTTTGTCAGATAAGGTTCAGCCCGGCTACGTACAAGACGTTCATTATGGGCCGGAGAATTCTGCAGACTGCACTTAAGTAGACTTAAACGAATTTCCCGGGCGGGAAATCCCCCCTGTGTCTGGCCGAGATTCACACCCGGGTCTAGCACATGCCGTTCGGGTGAACCTCCACACGCCATGCTTGCCCACGTTCCGAGCCAGACAATTATTATCCTCCATCGACTTGTTGATGGTTCACGGATGTATCCCGAGCTTGAGATCGCTCAGTGAGCTGCAAGAATTCTTCCCAGACGAGCCAGGCTTGCATGCGCCCGAACAGAACTTGGATTGGACTATGGAATTTTATTTTGCTTGCGAAGAGATCTCCGCAACGTCCACGCGGATATTTCGAGACTGAAATTCGACGTCTCCCGAAAGGGTCCGACAGACATAAATGTAATTTGTCGCGAGAAGGTATCCTCCATTCCCCAAGAGGAGCACAGCATCGATAGAACGTACTCATGCGCTTGAATGACGTCCGTCCATGCGGATTCGCGCACAGATGTGCGTACGACCGCGACGTAGTTTGAAAACTATGACCTGAGGCGGTCCTCCCCTATTCTGTCAGTTCATGAGTTTTCTCTTCGGGGTGGATGAGGCTCGCCTACCAGAATTCCGCGTGGACGAGGGAATCTCTAACGCACAATAGGATGGGCAATTATTTGTTTTCTGCGGACAGCAAGCTCCGGCTACGCAGACTCCTCTCCGCGCATCAGTCGCTACCAGGAGCCGTCGTATCCGTTCCCATCTATTGGTAATCTATATCAATCGGCCATCCTCCGGCGGCATACCGAGATGGAAAAGCGATTGGTACCGCGCACCGTGCCTCAGCTCCATGAGCGAATGGAGAATCAGGGAAGCTTGGTTCCGTCGTTGCCTCGGTTCTGGATTAGGTTCACGGGCTGGAGCGATTCTAGTTCCGAAAGGGATGCAAGGGCTCCCAAATGGACCGCACGGCGCGAATCTTACGCTGCGACGCTCGTGTCGCTCACCGGACGCTTCCGTGCACCCGCAAGGCTGCGCATGCTCGAGCGAATGATTGAGGATGATTGGACACTTTTCCGATCGCTTGAATGAGAGTATGAAACTTTTCGACTGCTTGTGCGAGATTGGGACTTTTCGACTGAATGTGTGATAGACTGACCTATCGGTCAATAGACGGACTGACCGAAGTTGAGACATCTAATCTTGCTTGGAGACAACAAGCTTGTTAGTGAAGGAAAGTTCGAGTGCAAACTTTGCAAGCTGACCACTAGAAATAACTCACAGCGGATAGAGGAACCTCCGAGATGCCTAATAGGTAGATCAAGCAAGGAACACCGAATAGGCTCAACCGAACTGTTGGAGAAGCGGCTGATGGAACGACTCACTCAACGATCAAGCGATCGATTGATTGACCGAGCAACCGACTGACTTGACACACCGACCGACCGAGAACAGGGAAAAGATCATTCTGACAAATAGAGTTTCCCCCTTTTAGCGAGCTCCACGTGTCCCGGAAATTCGAGTTTGAGTCATCTCCTCCTTGGGAGAAACTTCGTGAACAAAACAATGTATTGCAAGTGAAGTCGATTTTGCCAAAACACCCATTTAACCGGGTTTTCCAGATTGCTCAAAGACACTTACTCCATTCTGACGTGTTCCCAAAGATTACAATCTGCTTTGCGATGTTCTGCTTTGCTCCTCATTCGGACGTTCTCTGTGAGAATGCTTCTGCCCCATGCCTAGGAATAGGTCACCTCTGCTTCTCAGTGTCAATGTTGAATAGCTCCCTTTGCTTTCCCCTCTCGGAACCGCTTCCACCCGTAGTCAACGTCGACAAACAGCGACCACGAAGAGGGCAATGTAGATCTGCCAATGTCAGACGATGGTCGCATGGATGAAACCCGTAACCATTGGAATTGCAACAAGGGAAGATTGGGTCATCAACTCGTCGGATTCAATCGGAGAGAGGCCCGATTCCAGCACCTCGGATGAACAAGAATGTTGCTGCTACTACCACTGCAAGAACAACAAAGAGAACAGAATAGCAGCAGCGAAATGGAAGAAAAACGGTCAAACTTTGAGTCTGAAGCAAACTGGGTGTAAGCGTGAAGTCGCGCGTCTCGCGTCAGAAAGACTTGGTAACATGAACAGTCTGGCTCAGAATGAGTCTTGCTCAAATATCACACATCTATCTGCTTCTCGATAATCTGTTAATGAGATATATTTCTGTCAATGCTATGGGTTCCGATTGATGGAGACGCTCCAAAACTTGGACTGCTCATTCTACAGCGAATGTAGGAAGAGGAGGAAGCAACGTAACTGTAGAGATAGTGAGCGGGTAGCAATGAGATCGGTGAGGCTACGCACCGATCTAGTATCCATCAGTTGTGGTAGGCTGTAGTAGTGTTATTGTCTGACATTGTAAGCGAAAGCCGTAACTGGTGTCGGAGCCGACAAGATGTTTGTACTCGATGGGAAGCAACAACATCGGAAGCAAGATTCAATTACTCACATACATACATGCATACAATCATTTGTAATGTGTGAAAATGTATGACCGGATAAAGCTAATTTATTATACTATAAAGCGAATTGAGAAAAAGAAACGCGCTTCATTCCTTCGTCCATCACGGAATTAGGCGACCGTGTCACGCTTCCTGAGGACGATGCGACTCTAGTACACTATTTCGGGGCCGAATATAATTCCTCTCGGCCCCAGTTTGTCGACTTCTCCCGACTCGATGATCCAATCTAGAGTCTCGAGTACCTACGTTCACCGAGAGGTTCCGACTTTTTCAGAGAGTTTGATCTCTTCAGGCGTCTAGAATGCTCCGGCCGAAGTATCAGGCTCCAGGAGAAGGGTTCCCGCGGAGAGTCCACTCATCAAGAGCGGACTCCTGAATCTAATATCATGGG